CCCCCCCCCCCCCCCCCCCCCCCCCCCCCCCCCCCCCCCCCCCCCCCCCATACCAACCATCTTGCCGATTGCGGAAAGGTCATCTATCTCTCTGCCCCGGGCCTATACTTCCTCCTCATATTGCTCCATCCATCTGGCTAGCTGGTATATATCTCGTCCACATTATAGCCCAAACCTAAACCCCCACCACTGACTTCACTTGACTGCACTTCCATCCCGAAATAAGAAAAGAAAAGAGAGACCTATATATACCTATGGCATCCCTCTGCTCCGGCCAGCTGCAAGACCGCAAAGATCACAAAGCCAAATTACGAGCCCAGCCCCAGGCCCAGCCCCAGCTCCAGCCCCAAGACCAACCCTCATCCTCATCCTCACCCACATCCCCGCCGGCTCCTCCCACCACGATGTCGAGTACCCCGCCGTCGCCGGGAGACTTGCAGGCCGAGGGCTTGATATCGGAAGTCGTGGATATCTACCAGCAGCTATCAGCGCTCGAGGCAGATCTGAGGCCCTGCACCGTCATCAACGAGCTCTTTGGGAGGCTGGTCGGCCTGAGTATCCAGACCGTCAGCGAGGCTGTGACGAACAAGGTCAGCAAGCAGCAATGAGCTGAAGTGCCTACCTATCTACCTATCTACCTATCTACCCACCCAATGGAAATTCGAGTTCGAGTTCCAGTTCGAGTCCGAGTCCGAGTCCGACTTCGAGTTCAAGCTCCATAGTCTGTCCCGGTCCCAGTTCTGACGTATCATTCTAACCACCCAGTTGCTTTGCAGGTCCTCTCAGATGCACGCGTCGCGTCCATCCTCCCGAAACTGCATCAGATCTGCTCGACAGCAGAATACTACTTGGAGTTCCACTGGGCGAGCTACATCTCAGGAGATGATGCCTCCTCAAGCCCGGAAGAAGGTCAGTCAAGCGGCCACGTCCATCGCCCGTCTTCCATCACCCGAGTCCCCCCCAACCCCATCTGAATCCTCTCTCTCTCTCTTCTTCCCTCTTCCTTTCTTTCTCCTTCCCGCCATCCCAGTCCACAATCTCACAAAACCCGTCTTCCCCAACAGTCCAATCCCGCCTCGAGAAATTCCCCTACTATGGAAACTACACCGACCTCACGCGCATGGAACTCTCCGCCCTCTCCTCCCTCGCCTCGCCCGCCTCCCCCCTCCGAAAATTCGCATTCATAGGCTCGGGCCCCCTCCCCCTGACCAGCCTCTGTATCTGCTCGTCCACGTCCCCCGCCCCCACCACCGTCTTCAACATCGACATCGCCTTACCCGCCATCACCCTCTCCTCCCAACTCAGCCAGCGACTCGGTCCCCACGGGGCGGGAATGTCGTTCACGCACGCCCCCGCCGGGGACAGCAGCACCGACCTGCGCGGCTACGACGTCGTGTACCTCGCGGCGCTCGTGGGCGGCAGCCAGGAAGAGAAGGAGGAGGCGCTGGGCCAGGTGGTGTCGCGGATGAGCGCGGGCGCCCTGCTGGTGGTGAGGAGCGCGGAGAGGTTGCGGCGCTTGATGTATCCTGTAGGTTTTTTTTTTCTTTTCCCCTTCTCTTCCTTTTCCCAACCCCTCCTCCCCGCAAAGAAAAGAAAAAGAAGAAGAAAAAAAAAAAAAAAAAAAAAGAATGCAAGAAACCAAAACTAACCCCCTCTCCCCCTCCTCTTCCCCAAATCCAGACCTTCGACCCCACCACCCCGCGCGTCCTGCAGCACCTAGACATCTGCCTCGCAGTGCACCCCTACAACAAGGTCGTCAACTCGGTCATCATCGGGCGCGTCAAGGCCCAAGCCCCAAGAGAAGAGAGGAGGAAGAGCGAGAGAAGAAGTTCAAAGCTATGAACCGTTTCGTTCGTCCCGATTGACCGAACGAACGAACGAACGAACGAACGAACGAATAAATGAGATAAAAACAAACATGAAAAGTAAAAAAATGTGAATAGATAGAAGAAGGATAGAAAGCATCGATGGGAAGAAGAGAAACAAAAAAAAGAGAGAAAGAAAGAAAGAAAGAAAAAAAAAAACACGACGCGAGGGTATAGAAAGATTTGCATGTACGTAATAGGTACAATACAATACATACTACAATACATACAATTAATGGCATCGGCATCGGCATCGGCATTGGCTTGACTAGGCTTGGCTTGACTTATTACCTAATAAGCTGCTTGGCTTGCTTAGCTTTGCGAGTTGGGCTTCGGGCTATATACCTATATATACTTACTTAGGTACTTACTTACTTAGGTACTTACTTACCTACTCACCTACCAGTAACCCTTCTTCCCCCCCTCCCTCCCTCACGGCATACACATACATACACACACATACACATACCTACCCACACACATACACATACCCACTCACCTACCGTAGTAATTCAGGAGAGAGATGGAACGCTAGCCGTTTAGCGTACTTGGCAAACAAGGGAGATCAATAGTTACGCCGCTCCGAGTAGAACGATATGCGTTCCTTTTATTGAATTGCTTTCTTCGCGATTATAAGTACTAGTACTTCTATTATAAATACTACTTATTTTCAGTTAATTATAGAGCAAGAAAATCTTAACGAAGAATACAGCATTGTTCGTAAGTATCGTATAATTAAGCAAGCTTAAATAAAAAATTACGATTAATTTTTTTTAAATGTTTCTTGCGATCGTAACGGCGATTCCGAACTCTTCGATCTATACCCTTCACTTATATACTCTTTGCAAATTCAACAACCTAACGATATACGCCAACTTGTCGGAGTTGCTATTATTGATCAATACGGAGGCTATAAAGGCTGGGTTGCAATTCTTACAAGAGATCGCGATTATTTAAAAGGGCTTATACAAAGTGGTTGGATCTTGACTTGCGAACCTATCTCTACAAGTTAACGATGGAAAAGGATTGATAGCTTTCAAAGGTCAAGAGAATAGCAACGAGAGAAAGCTATATAGTTAAGAGTAAAAGAAGAAGGAAAACAAGCTGAGACGCTTAAGTGATTAGCTTGCATTAATATCTAGTTTAAATGCTAGTTATTTATCGCTTTCGTAATGCTCGTTTGCATCCTATTCGTTCATATCCGTTGTTATTGCTTTCCATTTATACCTTTGAACTAATTAAGTCGCTTCGGTTCCTATTAATATACTCGATAAAGTAACTTGCTCGTGCAAATAACTTTGAAGTTGCTATTCGTCGCAACTTGGTTTAGCGACCATATCGTCTGTTTCTAGTACTTTGATTAAAGTAGCTTTGTTTTTAGAGATTCCAGTTAAGCTTCGCAATCTTAACGCATTTTTAAGTTGATCGTTCGTTAACCAAGTATACGTTCGTAAAGGCATACTATCTTGCATGATATATTAACCGTTATCGCCGATTTCGAGTATCTTTTCGTGCGCTAATTAATATTGTCTAACTTTTTCATCTGGATTCTAATAATCTCCTACTTCTAAAGAGCCATGAGGGTATCTTTTGATCGCAATTTTATAATCTTCAGATCCATCGGTTAGAAGATAAATGCTTACATTTCGAAAGGACTTCGCGATTAGCTTTGATTTCGTTGTACAAACGAAGTCTTAAGCTTCTCTAGCATTCCAAGTCATTTGAATTCTTTTTTCGGATACAATCCATTTAAAACCGAGCTGTTTTTCTTTCTCTTCAATATAGATCTCCGCTAGTATTACGATAATCTCTTTAAAGATTTTATTAAGAGCGGTGTCGCAAGGTTATAAAAGTCCGGTAGTTCTAAGTGGTATTAACGATACGAGAACGTATGCCTCGCGAAGAAGTTGGAAAAGCTCTAGCGATTTATGAAAGCTTATAGTATCTATAGTTAAGAAAACTGGCTTTTTAGCAATAGGTTTAGTACTAGGAATAAACTCTTCCTTAGCCTATTGCATCATAAGTTCTCCGTTATTCCAAGCTTTCTCGTTGAATTCCACGATAACTCTCGGATCGTATAAATGTTGCTTAGCTTTTAAAATCTTCTTAACATCACTTTCTCTTTTAAAAATGATTTTTGGCTTTAATTTGCTGAGTTTGCTACTAGCACAAGGATACAAATTAATAGTCGCTTGCCGAAGATTCCATCTCGATTTTGTTGCGCTTGCCGAAATTGTTTTAGACCTTATTAATTCGTATGTTGCGCCTTCGAGGTGGCAAAAAGGCATAAGTGTTTCGTCGAAATTATATATGTCGAATTCTTCGAAAGCATTAAGAGGTAATCTTATAAGCGGATATAAGCTTAATTGAGCGAGTTGTTCAGCTCGAGGGATGCTATTTCGTCGATTAAATTGAAGTTAATTAATCACATAAGCTTTAACCTCTTTCGGAACCATTTGAGATTGCGATATATTAGCAATATTAATATAAAATTAAATCTAAGACTTACAATCTTAATAACTCGGCGAATCGTTATACCGTTTCTCTTACAAAATCCTTCAAACCATCTATTAGAGAATACGAATAACGCTTCTATCTCTTTAGCATCATGTCCTTGATTTTTAATTAATAATTGCTAACAATAATGCTTTATAAACAACTCTTTTAAATGCTTTCTAAACCATCACCTTCGTACAATATAACCTCCTTTTCGTCGTGCTTTGAAATCCGCAAATAGCTCTTTTTCTATTTCTAGCCAAACATATAATTAAGAAGTCGGTATTAAGCGAGATGCTCTTATCGAAGCGAAGATATTATCTCGTTCTTTCCACCACTTTTGAATAGTAGCTTCGCTGATCTTCTAATATAAAGCAGCTTGTTTTTGTATAAGAGAAACGTATTCGTATTGTGGATATGCTTTTATAGCGTCATTCTATCGTTTGCGAGTAGCAAGGCGGTCTCGTTTCGAGTAAGCGGGTAATGGAATTACTCGAGCGATTTTGTGAAAATACAAGAATAGTATTACTGTTGGATTGCTTCCAAGCGATTGGGAATATATATTCGTAAGGTCGTAACGGTCGTCAAAGTACTTGCAATTGCAAAACACTCGGTTGATAAGGTATCTGAATTCTGTCTGCTCCTTAAGATTCAAGGGAGCTGATTCCTTCTATAGGACTAGAAGGAATCACGTGCACTAGCTAACTAATAGGTCTACTTGTCAAGTTGAGGGTCCCTTGATTGCGGACATGCTAAGCGAGGCATGCCAAGTGGCCCGTGAACCATGGTTCACGGGTGAGCTTCCCTAACTACTACTACTACTACTACTAGCTAGCTAAGGTCGATATAAAGATACCGACACCGGCAACTCTCTCTTTGGCAAGCAGTGCCTTGCCAACTATTATATCGACCGAAAAAGAAGGAAGGTAATTAAATAAAAGAGAAAAAAACAATCTCATCCCTCCCTTTCTTATAACGGCCTTTCCACCTACCCGTCCACTTGCACCTTCAAAGTATTGGTCAAAACTAGCTCTTGCAAAGAGGTATTAGCCCCGACTTTAATCATGGCGTTAGCAAGGTTAGATTTTCCTCCGATCTAGCGTACTTCAGAGAACTCTCGCCTCTCGTATGACTCCCGAATAGCTATAATATCGATCATGAGGCGCTTCTCTTTAGTAGTCCCTAGCTTTACTATACACTCGTAGAGCGAGTAAGAGTCAGTGCACACAACTACGAGGAAATTAAGGATCCTTAGCTGAGCTGTGATTTGAGCAAAAGTAGTCGACATAGCAATAGCCATATCGATACTTAAGGACATAGCGTATAGCTCAAAGGCTAGTACTGCCCTTGTGACCCTCTTGCACTTTTGTGACACCTAATAAAAGATGTTATCCGTCAGAGTGAACTCGTTCTCACTTACGTGAGCCTTATTGCTAAAGATAGTTACGAAACCGATCTAAGAGCTGAGGTCAGCGTTGTTAGCAAACGCTCCGTCCACGAACACAAAAAGCTTCGCAGTCTTTAGGTCCAAAGGCACGTAATAGATCCTTCGAGTTGGGTGATCGATCAGCTATTGGATCACCTTATTAAAGGCTTTGTAGTCCTCGTCCTTCGGTTCCTAGTGCTAAGCGGCCATCGATAGAGCGCAAGATGCCTTTGGGTAGCAAATAGTAGCCAAATACGCCCTTCGGGCACGTTGCTCTAAATACTCTTTAGCTCGTGTGGCTGAATCGAGCTTGATCACTATAAGCCTCTCACCTTGCCCTTTTTGCCCAACTGACAGTCCGAACCCTTCCTTATCCAAGGATAGCTTGCATCTATTGAAAATCATTAGCTCGGCGTGTATAAGGGTCTCCATTTCCTTGCTCCTTAGCTTGGATTTGACCAGCTCCTTCTCCTCCTTTGCCCTTATAGCTGGATTGATAACCATAAGAACATCATCCGTCTATAAGGCAGCTATTCTTAGCTGATCTTTGTTAGTTAACACAAAGAAGCAAGAATCAAAGCTCGATTGCTTTATCTCGAGGTTGTCCGTGAAATGCCTTGAAAAACGCTTATACTAATGCGTTCTTGCTTCGAGGATCTTATACAAAAGGCTAGTCATAAGGAACAAGGTGCCGAAAGGGAATCGATAAGTGATCTCTTTAGGTAGTCGCACGACGATTATTCGGATGAGCTTCGTGCTTAATTAAGTGTAAGCTTGAGTGATATCCTTGCTATAGACTTAACACTCGTAGTCCTTTATCAGAGAGGGAGCTAGAGCACAACAGAGTCTTTGGCCCGCTCGCTACACCGTAAGTGACTCGGTGAATACCTTCGTTTTGCCTTTGTCTTGAAAGGCTTAGACTACCATACGAGACTTCTCGTATAGCGTAAGTGTTCCTTTGCCTTTGATCTTATCAACAAACTTAGATCCGAAGATCTTAGCGCTTTTAGCGCGTAGGTCGGTGCCCGAGATCACTTAAAAGATGCTTTAAGCTATCAATCCAGCTAATTCTTTTGCTTTAAACTCTTAAAATAGTGCCTCGGGGCTCTTGATGATTCCTTCGGCTCGTAGCTTAGCTGAGAGCTCATGGTCCCGGCGTTCCTTGTCGGTAATCAACACCTCGGAGTCCTTGGTGAATAGAACGTAGGAATCGCCTTCCTTTTCGTCGAGCACGGTCGGGATACTAAGATCGTACTTTTAGTAAAGTATCTGGATCATTGGTATTGTTGACTTTTGGGGATTGACAAGTTAAGGGTTAAGGGGGCTGTTTGCTGATTTAAGCAAGCTTCTTAGATTAAGCGACCTCGGTGGATTAAGCGAATGTTGAAGTTTAAGCGAATTTCGTATTTCTAGCTCTTTTTCGCCTTCGCTTTGATCTTCTTTTACCTCTACCTCAAGTACTTGCAACTCCTCTAGCAGCTTTTCAACTTCAGAGTAATAAGGTTTTACTGAGGTTGACTTGAATTCCGTAAGCCTCGGACATGCCATTGTGCACGTGTGCCCTTGCCTGCTAAGCAGCTGAAAAGGGCCCTTTTACCTTTGGTTTTCCCGCCACACGAGTACCCGTAAACCAATAGAGAGGTCTAAGGTATGCTCCGTAATTGGCCCATTCCTTTTCTTAAGCGCGTCCTTAACTTGCTTTGCAGCGTAGCATTTTCGTACTTCCCTTATAGCCTTGTTAATAGCAGCAGCACGCTCTTGGGTAGACGCGGCAAGTCGATCTTGTTTCGTTAGCCTTAATAAGGTCTTAAAAACGAAGAGTGTAGGAACTAGGCTATTAAGTCTAGCTGTATCGTTGATGGCTTTGATAGCCATTTAAAGCCGGTCCTCTCTTAGGGCCTTTAGAAGCTCCTTTATGACGATCTTAAAGGCGCGTCGCACAAAGACGTGGTAGCGTTCTATTAGCCCGACGCTATGATAGGCTTCTATAGGCATTTGCTTTAAAGTGCTGCTAATACTTTTAAGGTAGCTTCGGAACGTTGCTAAATTAAAGTTAGTTCCGGGATCGTGTATTACGTTTGTAAGAGGTCCGACGTAAATATTAACCCAACATCGATTGAATCTTTTAAGTAAGTGCTGTACGGACATGCTTTTAAGAAAGGTGGCGGCTTGAAAATTAGTAGAGTCGCAAACGACGTGCAATACGTTCTTGCCGTCAAAGTGCATCATATCGACGTATACCGTGTCATTGAAGTCAATATTATCCTTGAGTTTGATACTAAACCTTTTCGAAGAGCGTTCGAATACTTAGCAATAGTAGCAAAACTTTTAGATGTTGTAAAGCAAATCCCGTCTGAATTCGTGCCCGGCCCTCTTAAGAACAGCAGCAAATCGACTTGCTGAAGGGTGGCTAAAACGCTTGTGGATAGTCCTTAATTGTTCTTCCGTAAGGTAATAATAAACGGTCTCGCCCTCGGTGCTATAGTAAGTAGCAGCGTGCTCTTTACTTAGTAGCATCCATACGTGCTTAAACATCCTTACTATTGGTATCTCCTTCTTCTCTTGGACTAGCACGTTCCGCAAGTTATCTAAGATCACTTTGTGCTTATCTATGTCAGCTAACGAGAATAAAAAGGGTACGTCGCTCTTTATAACGTGGAACTCCACCTGACCTAAAGGCGTTTCCAAGGTAACTGCTCTAATAAAGGTGGCAAAGCCAATCTCGTATTTAACGGACTTTTCCTTTGCCCGGGATGTATTCAATTGGACCTCGAGGTACCTTTTTTAAAGTGCTCGTAGCTGGGGCAAGCCAGCGGTAGAGAAATTGGCTGCTCCGCTGTTAATCATGAAGCTTATAAACACGTTTTTAAAATACTTGAAGGCTATATAGGTCTTTGCTTTGCCCGTAGGCACGTTTTAAGTCTCGATTTAGCTAGTAAGGGCGTGGAATGCCGTCTGAATCTCCAGTTGCTTGTATACTTCGTTAGCGTCAAAAGTGCCGTAAGTAGTCATAAAACCTTCTGATATGTTAGCGTGGCTGCCCGATTCGAGCGGCTCGTCTAGTAGGCCTGCGATAAACTGATCGAATTCTTCCGTAGATACAAGTGGCAAGCCTTCAATCGATGCTACGTATTAAAAGAATTTGCTTCTCGTCACCTTTTTTGCGTCCTTGAAGGCCTGGAACTTAGCAATGGATGCTTTTCTCTCGTCGGAGGTGTGGTTGGTGCTCTAGCAACTTGGCTTTTTGCAAACAAAACACCTTTTCTCACCTTTAGTAGCCTTGGCAGCTTTTTTACCTCCGAAGTATTAGCGGTCTTGAATAAAGCATTCGTATTCTTCGTCCAAATCGGAGTCAGCCTTTAAAGTGTTATGCTAAGAGCAGGTGTGGTCGTGTGGCTCGCTAGAGCTCGCGTAAGCTCTAGCCTTGGCGGGTCGAAAGAACTTAGTTGCAAATGCAATTGCTCGGCGGATGTCGGCAATTGCGGCGGTAAAGGTAAACGCAAGGTTCATTCGTGCAATCGTAGTCTTTGGCACGTTTTTACAAGCTGAATACAGCTTGTCAGCAAGACTTCGATCGTCCCTTAAACCTGGTCGTAAAGAGCCTTGAATGCCCTTGAGCTCTTTAGCGAGCTTCTCAAAGCACTCGCTAAGCGAGGTCCTTGGATTCTCTTTCCTAACCAAATCCAGCGAAATTTCCTTTTAGCGGTCGTATTTTGCTTACCGCCGGTGGTCAGTCTCGAAGTGGTCCTTCACAGCAATAGCGTTTGCTTTAAACGTCGAAAGCCTGGCCTTTATCACATGATTGTAATAAAAGGTTATAGCCTTTCCCGTAAGCATAATTAAGAACGCTGCTAAATAGTCGTCGGATATCAGGCCGTACCGACTTGCTTGGTCAGCGAAAATACTTAATTAAGTCTTGAAGTCATCGTCGGGTCTCGAATACTTCAGTTCCTTAAGAAAGCTTCTTGCAAACAAGGCCAACTCTTTTGCTCTTAGGTAAAGGTCAGTTGCTTTTAGCTCAAGGAAATCGTTATCATTATCGTCAAGGGCGCTTGGAGTGCCGTACGCAGGCGTGTTGTGCCTGGCTAATGGTCTGATCGGTAAAGGGTTACCGATATAGTTGCCGGTGGTCCGTCCTCTTCTAAGGTCCTTAAGAAGCTCATTTCCGAATCCGGGGTCCTTTAAGGGTCCGTTTCCGAATCCTTTTGGTGGTCCAAGGGGCTCGTTCTTACCCCCTCCGTATCCGTAGCCTCGATCTCCTTGCTAATCTCTCTCGTTTCCTTCTCGTCGGTCATCGTCAGGATCGCTAAAGCCATTTGGATCACTAGCCGGGGCTCTAGCTTGGTGATATCCGTACCTTTGGGCGCGTTCTTAGCGATTCTTATACCCTTAGTATCCCTCTTGTCGATACGTAGCCTGTTGAGGGATCTGAGGAGCTTGTCGGTACGTCCGAGGGTGCTGGATCCCTTCTTCGGGTTGCTGAATTCCCTTCTCGGGTTGCTTAGGTTGGGCACGGAAATCTGCACGCTGTCCTTAGCGAGAGTTGATTTTGTCCGGAATGCTCTTAAGTTTTGGCGGGTCCTTTTTTAGCGTGTAGCTCCCGTGGCCTCGAGTGTTGTCTAGTCCGATGATGATCTTAGGACTATTTTTGTTGCTACTCGGTCTAGGCTTTTCAGAAAACTGGGTGTAGCCTTTGAGAAAGGGGTTTGAAGGCCGCTGAAGTGATTTTAGCTCTTGTATGATTGGCGTATTGCGTAGCGATTGATGAATTGAGAGCGTCGAGTACGCTGAAGTGCTTCGTCGTAGCTCTTCATTGGATTGTATAGCGTAGGTCCGTAATTCCGCCATTTGCTTTGCTATCACCTTTATATTTTGCTCTATATCCCTTTTCTCTTTCGCAAACTCCTCGCGTAACCTTCGAATCTCTTCCCCTTCTTTCCTCTCCTTTCCTTTTGGACTTCGTAAGGGTGGTGGAGGTGGTTGAGGCGTATTATCCTCGTCGTCCGTAAGGTTTTCGGTCTACTTTGAATCGAGGCTTAAGGGTGTTGCTTGTTGCTCTTTTATTTCTTAGAAGGTCTATTAGTGTTGCTACTCGTCGTTCAAGAGCTTGACCATCCTATTAGCGTAGCCCTTTTGCTTTGGGGAGCACCATACGCCTTTGGACAGCAAGTGTTCCTTGAGGCTAATAAGGGTAGCAAACTTAAGGCCTCGTCCCGTATTATCCCCCGTCATTGTAAAACTGGTCTAATCTTAGCGTGAGAAAGCGTGCCGGAATAGGCTCTACAAGTCGTAATCCCTTAGCCCTTTACACTTCGCATCCAAGAAGTCGTTCACTATCGCTCGGGCCGTGATCTCACTGTCTGGCTTTGCGTATAGTAGCTCGTTTAAGTCAAATGAGATGCCCGACATCTCGTCGTCTGGTCCTTCCGAGAGGCTTGGGAGTCCTGGGTATAGTAGTCCTTTTGGCTGAATAGCTAGGGGTTCCGTAGGTGGTGATAAGACTCGAGGGGTATAATACCCTACTGCTCCTTGTCGGCTGGACTCTTCACCTGGAGGTCCAGTTGCTCGATCGGCCATAGTTGTTGTCTGCTCGTACGTAGATCGATCGTGTTGGTTGGGTTTGCTGTGTGTAGCAAGCGCGGCTTTACAGCTTTGAAGGTTGTATAAAAGTGACTTGGTTCGGAATCACTCTTCCGTAGGAATGGGGGAAAATCGGTAGTATAAGAAGCGACTTGGTACGGAATCGCTCTTTCGTTGTAAGGTAAAGGTATCGGGGTGTAAGAAAGCGACTTGGTACGGAATCGCTCTTCCGTTGTAAAAGGAGGGAGGTATCGTAGTAAAAGGTATCTTCGCTATAGAGTCCTAGCTTCTCTGTGATTGATCACTTAGTAGTAATTCAATCACTGATCAGTGTTGGATTGCTTCCAAGCGATTAGGAATATATATTCGTAAGGTCGTAACGGTCGTCAAAGTACTTGCAATTGCAAAACACTCGGTTGATAAAGTATCTGAATTCTGTCTGCTCCTTAAGATTCAGGGGAGCTGATTCCTTCTATAGGACTAGAAGGAATCACGTGCACTAGCTAACTAATAGGTCTACTTGTCAAGTTGGGGGTCCCTTGACTGCGGACATGCTAAGCGAGGCATGCCAAGTGGCCCGTGAACCATGGTTCACGGGTGAGCTTCCCCAACTACTACTACTACTACTACTAGCTAGCTAAGGTCGATATAGAGATACCGACAATTACGTCGACCTTACGCTCTTTAAGTCTAAATACTTTCGAGCATATAATAGGAGGACGAGGTGTATAAGCTATAATAAGATTATTATAAGCGTTTTTTCTAGCTTGATAATGAGCTAGTGTTTTAGGCTTTTTCCTAAGCCGTGGTCGAAGAGCGCGCTCCTTATAAAAAGAAGCATTTAAAGTATTGAGTAAATGAGATTCTTGAGGAGGTAGTTCAGGGCCGAATTTTCGTTTACCGACTATAATTTTAAAGACTTATATTGACGTTAAAAGATGCAAATAGCAAGTTCAGAATATTCAAAGCAAATATTACGCTAAAGGACACTTAGGATTTTGATATGCGGCCGCGTCTCGGAGCGGCGTAACTATTGATCCCCTTTGTTTGCCAAGTACGCTAAACGGCTAGCGTTCCATCTCTCTCTTGAATTACTACGGTACCCACCCACCCACATCACATACCCATTCCATCACATCACGAGTATAGATAGCTTTCGTCCATCCCAAGCCGGTTCCTTTCTTTCTTTCTTTCTAAGGAAGGGAAAGAGAACGAGTAAGGAAGGAAGGGAAGGGAAGGGAAGGCGAAGAAAACGATTGAGCGTCAGGTGAATGACTGACTGACTGACTGGCTGATCGAAACGAGGTACCTACATGTTTTTTTCGGCCGTCAGCGGCATCGCGCCCATAATCGATCGACCCTGAGAGACTTATGACCTAGTCGGCTGCATTCGTATATCGTCTTGCCGCGCTCGATGTATTCACTCACCCCTTTGCGGAATTGGCTGAGGCTCCCTTGATGTGATCACTTTTTTTCTCTTGTTCCATACTTTTCTTACTAACGCATTGCTCAAGCAAGAGACAGCATATCGATAACTCATTAGAGTCTATAAAAGCTATACCACTCACATATACGTGCATACTTTTCGCTCGCCCAAGGCCTGTCTCTTCCCTTATCCGAACGCCATGCTAAACCTAGAAGAAATAAGAGCGCATATCCCTCTTCCCCTCCCGAGTCCCGACTCCAACATCATATTGTCACCATCTAGCCCCCACCTGAACCGAAAACAAACCCTCCCCCCACCGCCCTGGTCTGTCTGCGCCGAGTCCCCATCAAAATCTCTCTCTCCTCCGCAATTATCCCTCATAGATATGGCATGAAGAGTATTTCTGTCTGCACCAGATTCACCGGGTTGACTGCCTTGGCTATCAAATCGATCACCGTCTGGTTTGCAGGCAGCGACGACCCAACCGGAGTCGACGCCAGACTCAAGGTCCTCTTGACAACGACCTCGCTGTTCGCCTGCACCGTTTCCCTTAACTGTCTATCCACCATCGGCACCGACCGGTACTGGCTCGTGAACCAGTGGATCATCTCGTCGCGCACAAACAGGCTGAGCTGTTGCTCGAGCTCGTACTCCGGCTCCGTCAGGCAGCGCGCGATGGCCATGATGGCACAGCTGAAGATGCCTTCTGTCGCGAGGGGACCCATGAGCGTTTGTAGGTTTGGCGTGAGGCGGAAGGGTATGGTCTCGGGGTTATGGAAGATGGGTTTTGTAGCTGCCATGCAGCACATCAGCTCCGAGCCCCAGATGTTTCCGGTGCCACGGGCGATATTGAGCTTGTTCGGGTTGCGCTGGTGCATGTGGAGGATGTATGTCATGAATGTGAGTGCAGCGAATTGGTACGAGAATTGCCGTCTAAATAGCCAATATTCCGAGTACGCGGGGTACACGGCCTGGAAGTAGTCTCGGGCAATGTCGTTGGGTACCAATTTATGAGTTATGGCACTAAATATCTCCAGCTTAGAAGGCAGAATCTCGTCATGAGATTTCTGTAGATATTTAGCACTTGTCATATCAGTTGCTGCAGACTCTCTTACCTTCGACTCGACAAGCGTCCTCATCTGCTCCATGGTGAACACTATCGGCTCATCCTTTGACATACCACTCTTCCTGCAATGGTCGTCAAACAAAGCTTGCAAAGAGATATAAGTCGGGTCGTCCTGCACCATTCGGATGTGAGGTGCAAGTGGAACCATGAGTGGCAGATGGAAGTTGAGGTTACGACGACGACTCTCCTTGCGCTTGCTCAGAATTCCATTGAAGTGTCTAAAGAGCTGTAGGATTCTCTCCTCACGTCTGCACAGGCGTGCAGCGGGGTGTTGGATGGCGAATGGATGTATACTACCATCGTGGCCCCGAATCCTGATGCGACGATGACAAACACCGACAGAACGGACAAGATCTACCGTCGGCAAGAAACGCTCAATCCGGATAAAGTCTTGGTTCTTGTCCTTGTGCTGCAGGTATTGGCCAGGCACTTCGACCTCGTCATACTTCAGGAATCGGAATTCGCTGAGGTGGGGGCTATAACTCTCGAGGTAAGCATGTGTCTTTCTTCGGTCGAGCTTCGCCTCAAACTTGTCGCGCCACTTTCTCAACTTTTGGATATATTCGTGCATGGTTGGCTTGCATCGAATAAAGTCGGCTTCGAAGGAAGTGCGTATATGAGCCGGGAGTACGGTATCTGCGAACCGAGTAATGTTTGCGTCCGTAGACGGTGGAAGCTTGACATCTTGCGCATATGAGGTGGGTCCACGGCCGACGTGACTGAAAGCGTCATTGAGAAGAGCCGAAATCAGACGGTAGGCATCTTCATCCGGAGAGCACTTGAAGTTCTTCTGGATTTGGTCGACCATGTTTTCCATAGAGAGCGCCAAAAGCGGGAATGCGGTCTTGAGTACCGCCATGATCTCCTCGGTATGCTCCCACGGAAATTTCTTTGCGGCTTGAGGTGGAGGTGCAGGTTCTCCGTTTCCATCGGAAGGCTCCTTCTTGACGGCGGCATTACCCTCGGAGTTGGTGGTGGCAGAGCGAGAACCAGTAGCAGAGTCTGGGAGAGCATCACTGGGGATATCTTGGCGTTGCACCACGGGCGATCCAGTGGGATTTGAAGTCGCGCCGTTCGCGCCACCTTGGGCCTGTGCTCTGGCCTTCATGCGACGCTCCTTCTCCGATAACTTGGCGTCTTGTTGCTTCTTGATAGCAAGCATGTCTTCCCGGTTGGTTCGCAGCTGGAAATAGAGTGACTGCGGGTAAGCTTTGGCGATCTTGGCAAGGATAATATGTGCCTTCGGTGCCTCTTTGTGTCCAAGTCCAGTCAGTAGTTGGGGTATAAAGGTGATCCAGTACCAGACGGGTGTTTCTCCCTTGAAGTCATCAAACTGCGCCGAAAGTGTCCCTTCAGCATCGTCGAGACTAAGAAGCCAAAGAATTCGTGTAAGGAGCTTTCGAGATTTGGCGTTCTTAAACAGGCCTGCCGCCTCCAAGTAACAGCTGAGGGCATTCTTGGCGCTAGTGTAGTCTCCAGGATTCTCCTTGAAGAGCCGATCATTGTAGTTTCCCCACTCTGCCCAAGCCTTTGGTAATTTGATGTCAAAGAAGAGTGCCATGCCATATGCTTCGTGGGCTTCGTCCTTCTGCTGCAGTTTCTCCAGAAACATACCCTTGAGAGTGTAAAACTCAGCCTTCTGACCCGCGCCAAAGTAGTTGAGATTGGTGTTGTTGATGACGTCCAATCCATTGGTGAGCTCGCTGGAGTTCTGGTAGTGACACTTTGCCTGCTCTCGCAACTTCAGGAAAGCCTCTTGAATCTCAATATTTGGCAGCAAGTAGATTCTGCTCAACTGACTGATGCAGACATCACGTAGCTGATGCTTGCGTGCAACGTGGGCGAACCGGTTGATGATCCAAGCCGTCTCGTGAAACCCTCGGTAAGCGTACGATGTTCCGTTTGCATTCTGGCCCTGCGCTGGAATCAAACTGAGGTATGTTGTGTTGATGAGACCGAAGATGTGCTGTCTCCATGTCACCAGGTCTTGCCAAGCGGTGATATCATCCCACACGTTTGGCAGACGGTCGCGCCATGTACCCAGGAGTAGTTTGAGCTCGCCCGACTTGACATCAAGATTCTGGACATTGGTCTGGGCAAGACTCTGGCAGATGATACTCGCATCATGCAGTTCCACCAGCTGTTGAAAGTTTTGCAGCAATGGGATGTGTGCGTTGGTGAGGCGCTTCGGAAGTTGATGCCATTTGCGGATTGACAACTGGATTGCCTCGTCACAGACCTTGCTGAACTCGGCGGGCGACTCGGTCTTATTGTGAAGCTTGAGCAGGGACATGAAAGCCTGGAAGAATGTTCTCCGGGGTGTTGGGGCATCCATGACCCCTCTGATGAGATTGTCCAGGGTGTCGCGATTCTCGGCGGCGCTCCACATGTCAATCTGCTTCCAAGCGCACTCAAGCAGCAGGTCCTGGAAGTTTTCGTGCTTGGCAAATTCGGACAGAATCTCCCACTGCTGGAGCTTGGTGGCACAGAGAACCCAATGATCTTCCCACAACATGTACTCTCCTTGAGAAAATGGCAGAGCACCCGTTCGAGCTTTGATTTGTGCAGTTTCATAACCAGCCTGGGCCTTGATCCACATTCCGTTCTGCTCATACGACAGTGCAGCATTTGTCTCCACGTAGGAACATCGTCGTCGCCATGTTCCGTAGAAGAGATCGTCCTCATTCAGGCCTGAGTATAGCTCGACGAGTGCATCGAGATTGCTTTCACGAACAAGTGCACTGTCGAGCTCTGGCTTGATAGCTGCCTTTTCAAGCTGGCAAAGGGCTGTGTACCAAGCATTGTACGTGCGTGCCTCAAACTTCAAAACGTGAGGGGGGATCTTGCAGTCTGGCCAAGATTTCGCAGCGCCTTCCAGAAGGGACTGAACAACATTGGGTCTCTTGTCGAGTTGTCGGGAATGAAATTCCTTGGTAAGCAGAGCAACCATTCCTCTCTCGACTTCGCTTCGCTCATCCTTGGGTAGAGCAGCCCAGTACATTGGGAAGAGTGCAACCCAAATTTCATGTGCTACATTGGGATCCAAATGTTGAAGCTGAGAAAGGGGCTCAATCACGTCGCGCACTCTCACATCTCCAACCTCGGCAAGGAATTTTCGGTGAGAGTGTAGCAAAGAGTCGTACTTTGCATCCGTCGGCAAGGCCGGAGATCTGCTGTCATACGAGTACGTCTGAAAGAGGTTTGAAGCTGGAATGGTTCTGAAGTCCTCGTGATGGAGGTGGAGTGGGTAGTTCATGTCGACAGCACCAAGGAGCAGCTGAGATGCCTGGGCAAGCCAGTAGGAGTCAGCAAGAGTGTCCCAATTCTGTGAATTGATGACATATGTAAGACGAGCGCTGGCTTCCTTCGATTGACTGCGGTTGAAGATCGTCATGAACCGGTTCCGCATATCCACATCCTGGGCTCGTGTGCCAATCAGGAATGCATGCTCCAGGCGAACAGTAATTTCGGTCCGTGTGATCTTGGGATCTTCGTAAATACGGATAACAAGCTCCAAGAACTTCATCAGCAGCGTCTGATCGGGACGATTCTCAAAATTCAGCATCTTGTGGAGAACCGCAGTCTTCTCCTTCAGTGTTGGCCACGAGCCCTCGGATTTGAAGACCCAGGTCTCAACCATATCCAGAATTTTGAGACACAGGGTATTGCTTAGTGACTTCTCAACCAATGTAGCAAGAACGCTCAAGAAAGGCCGTCGATTGTCGCCAAGAACATCCATTCTCATCGAAATGACATCAATTGCCTTCAGCATAAGTCCCGTCTGGATTTCCAGATCATATGGCTGCATCCTGCCTGGCATTTCGGGCTCGCCTGGGCGCATTGGAGTGATAAGACCAGGCTGGGCCGAAATGGCATTGTAGTGAGCCACATGTTCTCGGGCTAGCTTGGACTGCAATGCCTTCATGATTTGGGGCACGTGCTGATCCATCTCAGAGGGCTTTCTCTGGGCTAGTGTCCATAGTATATTTATGCCCGAGATATAGTTGTTGTTCGAGAGCATTTCAGTGGCGATACCAGAGAGAAAGGTGACGAGTTCAGAAGTGGATGCTTCAGCTTCTCCCTCAGCATCGGCATCTTCCATGGGCACATCCTCAGGTATGGCGTCAAGAATACGCTTCAGAAGTGGTTCCAAGATCCGTCCATCGTCCATTTTCTCATCTGCAGCGTGCAAACAGTCCTGGATTTCTGGATTTTCGCATTTTAAGGACTTCTCCAGTATGCGTTGAAGGTTTGTCATGTTCTGCAAGATCCATGCGTTTGATTTGATGTTGACGATGATTCGCACGATCTGGAGGGTATTGATCATGTTCGTAATGAACTTCTCATCCGTCTTGTCATCGTTTGAGAGCTCACTGGCAAGAGCCGCAGTGGTTCTCTCACTCGACAACACTGTTTCCGTCACATTGGGAAACAGGTCGACTAGTGATTCACCCCAGTACTGCGGTTGGAGAAGACCATGGAGGAGAGAAATAGCCTTTTTGCACATTTCCACCGGCGGCGCTGACTGCATGGGAGCCTGCAAGGCGCTCGAGTCTCGGGGTTTTTCAGAAGGGAGTGGGAAGCGTTCGCTAAGTGATGCAGTAAATTCGACGAGGTACTTGATCATCTTCTGCTGCATGACAAGGGGGATCTTATACTCGAGTCTGTCGGCTCCAGAAGATGAGCCTGGTTTGGAAGGCGAAGGCGACGACATCGAAGTGTCGTTGAGAGACTCTAGCTTGCGCTTGAGGGTGTTTGGCGATTCCGATAATGCACGCACAGGTGATGCATTCTTATTTTCAACGCGCTTCTGCTCCCATTGCCATATGAGGGTCATCAGATTGAGAACCAGCTTCTTACTCTCGTTGGACGGATTTGAGGGTGGTGAGATCTTGCGAAGGGAGCTGACGATGAGATTGACAAATTTGTCTCTGGACTCGTAGAAGAGATCTGCATGCTTGACTAGGAAATTAAAGATGCTGGTCATCTGGGATACGTTCTGACTCTCCTCTGCCAAGATACGCCGAGGAGCCATTGCCCAGACGGGGTTGCGATCCCCCGGAGCAGCGCTACAGCGCTTTGGCAGGACTGGGGCTATCAGCTCTAAAGCCTGAGTTACCAGAGTGCGGCCCTCATTCTGATTGGTCTTCAAGAGCGAGAAGTACACTTGCTGGACTATCTTGGCTGGAGTCTCGTAGTGGGCAATGAAGTAGCCAATTACCACGTAAGCAGCATGTTTGTTGATCACATCCTCTAAGCGGATATAGGTCCAGCCGAACTTGATGATATCTTTTCTGGCATCTTGGAGAATGGCGTGATGGTATTTGACGAGCATGGCTGTCAATTGCAAAACTTCCAAACGAGTATGGTCGATGCCTGGCTGTATCAAATCGTCATTGGTATCGCCAAAGCCGACCTTCCAGACCTTGGTGTGGATTGACTCAATGAGTGCTTTGTCCATCAAGCGATGAGCCCCTCTGGATGAAGTAGAGTGCTTGGCCGTCCGCATCACGTCCATCGCAATGATGGGGTTGACCAAGTTGTGTAACAGGAATGTCTTCGTCTTCTGCGATGCAGCCTTACCAGCATATACTTCGAGAGAGCGCATGGCCACCACCTTGCAGTAGTCTGTGTTCTCCGAGCTGATGATTCGATCGTAGATATGCTTCATAAGAGTCTGGCTGAGCTTCAACTTATCGGCAGTAATCAAGTCAACCAGCTTGAACAGTTCGTCGACGTCGTTAGGGTGACATTGAAGGAACTTAGTGAAAATGACCATCAGTTGCTCCCCAGCCTGCTCAGCTGCAAGACGAAGGTTTTGCGGGAGAGTGTTCGTGCGCAAGTGCTGTTCCAATTTCTGGCCAACTATCTTGAACCAAGCCATGTGTTCTTTTTTATTCATCCATTCCCTGGTTTTCTCATTCTCAAAATGGCAGGTGGAATGCATGATGTTGATGGCGTTGATGATGGCGGCATAACGATTATCATTATTTTCGGACCCCATGTCCCCACAGTTCTTGATCAGAGATTCCACATCGTTGACAACAACTTCTCGAAGAGGTCCGCTATCGGGGTGCTCAAGAACCTGGGCCAAGAATCGACCATACTTCTGATCCTCGATCTTACCTAGGAGCATCAACCAAATATCTTTCGGGTAGCGATTTAGGTACTTGTATAGAGGCGCTCGGAAGGGGCTGTATCGTGTCCGGCGGAGCTTTCCCTCGAGATCCAGGACCGTCTCGATTAAGCGTTCCTTGAAGTGTTCTGCAGCAGGTGGTAGCAGATGGAAGATGTTGAAGACAGCGGCGATAATCTTCATTTGCTCATTTTGTTCGATCAGCGAGAAAGAGATGCGCTGGAGGATGTTCGGTTCCGCCAAGACCTTGGTATGGTCGAGCAATCTGGATCCGATCTCGACCTTGAAATAAGTGGTCAAAAGTTGCAAGAGTCTGGCAAGACCATCGAGACCGTGAGTGCTCAATCGCCGCGGGTCTTGAAGATTCGCAAGCACAGGGCGTAATCCATTTTGCAACAGTTCTTTGGGGAGCTTTGAGGTCTGGACAAGAACCTGTTTTAATGCAACATTCGCAGCTTCGATAGTTTGCTTGGAGTCCGAGTACAAACATTTGAAAAATACAGACACAATTTTGGTCCGGGTGGGGTTCGTTGGACCTTTTTGGAAATCTTCGAAACCCATTGCTGTCGTGAGCATCCTGATACAGGCAACGCGGAGATTGACGATCGACTCGTGCGTCCGATACTCAGCAGGCTTGCCAGCCAAGGACTCGTCTGGTGCATCAGCCAGGGCGAGAGACTCCATAAGCAGTCGATTCAGATGATCGTCAAAGATAATGAAGTCTGATTTCAACCCCATGTAGTAGGTAATGGCATCAATGAAGCCGATCTGGACACCGAACGGCAAAGCACGCAAGGGTTTGGCATAGATAGGTTGGATGCACCGGTCTTTGCTTGGCTCGAGCAGCTCGTGTATTTCAGCCCCAATCTCTTTCGAAATGATTTCCAAGGATTTCTTCGTCGCCTCCCGTACGTGACGGTTCATGTGGCACAATTCCAAATTGAGGAACGCACAGAGCTGGAACAACTTGGTCGGGCGAGATTGTTGGCCATTCTGAGCAGGTGGTGGTGCTTGAAGGTCTGCCTTGGTAGCGTTCTTGGAGATCCGTTTGAGCAAAATTTCGAGTGTGTCCTGGGCGCCTCGTCTAGTCTTCGCGGGAAGATCTGGCGGCATGTCCTTGATAACATACATGAGTGCCTTCACGAACTCAATTTGTCGTTCATGCACCCAGGCATCACCCATTTTAACCTTGGTGATGAGGAAGTGGATACCGGCACTACCTCCAGCTTTCGAGAACCACTCTTCTTCGTAGCAGTTGTGGCAAGAGAGGTTGCTCAAATGTGTGAAGAATTGCAGTCGACAAACCTCGGTCTCTGATCCGAAAAAGGTAGCAGCGGTGTCATAGACCTCTTGTACTGCAAGCTGGGCAGCGTCTCGAACAGCGGGGACATCGGAAGATAAGCATTCAACAACAGCATCTCCAAGAACACGGGAATTGATATATAGACGCCCTTTTCCAGGTTCAACATTGAAGTATTGCATCTTTTGTCGCATCTCTGCTAGTGATCTACCAAGATCTAGGAAAGCCAGATGCTTGCAAGTATTCATCAAGAGAGTGGTAGCCTCGGCTGAAAACTCGGGCAACGATACGGCAAAGATGGAGGCTTTGATGAGCTTCTTCAGCATCACATCCTGGCCATCTTTTTTGACGATCGAACGCTCTTTGTCAAAGTTTTCCAGCGCGGACAGGTCTACTTCGCATTTCATTGCTACTAGGTCCTGGGCTTGTAGGCGTACAAGTCGTCCGAAGTCGTCGGGGAGGTTATCGGTGCCAAGACGGAGCTTCAGCTGGGTCTTGATTAAGTGCAACGCTTGCTGCTTGTAGTAGACATCCGATTTGCTGGCAGCAGGTCCTTTCACTACTTCCATGAGTTTCCCGATGGCCAGGTCGATTCCAATCTCGGCTGGAAAGGCTCTTTCCTTCTTCGAGCCCCAAAGCCTGAGATCAAAGCTGGTCAGATCATCCGAATACTGCTGGAAGGTCAACGCATGAGCTCCAGTCATGAACTTGCGGTTACGGCCTCCGAGCTTGCCAAGAATACGCATTGTGGTGTGGGAATGGAAATGGCTGTACGGGGTGGGTCGTAGGTGATCAAACAAGGCTGTCATTAATTCGTCAATCACAGGTGCCATAATAGGGTCCAGGTAATCCGCCGTGAGGTTATCCACACAGAGTTCCAGTGTCCGCAAGCCCTGACCCACAAGATCTGATCCTGCTCTCAGTGCAACGACAAGAGGTCGCATGAGGTAGCTAAGATGAGGGAGCAAATTGCTCAATCGTGCTGGAACAGTGAGGCACAGTTCGACGTAGAGGTCACGATCAGCTGGCTTTCGAGCTGCCAAAAGCAGATTATTCAACACTTCAAGTAACATCTCTAGCAGCGGAAGAATTTGCTTGTAGAGATGCTCGAACTTGCCACCACCAATGCTGCGGAAGAGTGATCTGAGTAGCAAAAAGTAGTTCATAGGCTCTTCAGCAGTTGTCGAAAGCTCGATAGACTTTGTGACAATGTCGAGAACGTGCGGTAGAAGAACCTGCTCATTCTGGTTAGCAAAGAGTGTGACCGCCATGAACGCGAGCTTGAACAGTCGAAGAAGGATTGAGGACTTCTTGACATCAGCCGTCCCGACTTGATCAATTCTATCCATCAGGAATCTTAGAAGCATTCCGGCGAAGCTTGGAGACGTTGCTTCACTTGCGAGGAAAAATTGCGGGACGTGGAGCAGCGCAGTATGCTCGAAGATCATATCGTAGAGTTTGGGGATCTCTTCGTGGAACACCTCATGGAAAGTGGCAGGATCGATGCAATGGAATACGGTAGCGAAAGTCTCCAAAAGGTCCTTCTCCTCCTTGCTGCTTGACACCATGTAGTGGTTGGCCAAGAACTCGACGGGAGACGTGTACTGTGACTCGGTTGCTGGTTTGTCAATTTCATAGTACCGGAAGACGTAGGCACCTTCTCGGAAGAGCTTGATGATTACTTGAACTTCCTCTGCGGTGAAGCCATACGAAACCTCTTGCCAGTGAGCTGGTGCATTCGCCGAATCGATTGGTGTGCCAACGTTGCAGGCTTTCAACTGATAAAATGTATTCTTCAAGCCATTCATAAGGTTCTTGAACAAGAACTTATTGTCCGCCACCGGGTCGGCTCCACGATCTCTCGGATTCGATGTCTTGATAGGCATGGCTGTGAAGATATCGATTTCGTCCCAATCGGGGGGGTGGTCCTTGTCCGCCAGATAGTTGTCTGGTGAAGCATCAATGGACTGCTGGGCGTACAATTTGGACAGCTTCACAGCATTGGGATACTGCCGGTTCATCGCCGCGAACTTGTCTCCAATGGCGTTCAAGATCATGATCAGGTAGTGACGAGCATCGGCCTTGTTGGGCATCTTTGCAATGCATTCAGCCATGTTGAGCAGTAGCTTGGCGCTCATAGTCTGGAAGCTGGTACCTGGAAAGCTGTCCTGCAGATTCTTGGTGTAAACCTCAACCGTCTTACGGATTTGCTGCGGTTCAAGAGCATCACGGACATGATGAATGAGATCAGCCAGCATGCTGTAAGCAAGAGGCCGCATCGTTTCATAGACCGTGAGGCCATCACCTATCAAGGTCTTCTCGTCTAAAAGTTCATCAATGTTTGTCAAGAATATCTTCCGGAAGTTGAAGTTGATAATGTGTCGGATCGCCACCAAAAGTTCCTTTCTCGCACCAGACTTCTCTCGCGGGCAGTCCTTGAGCAGCCGAACAATGATATTGGGTAAAGTCGGCAGGAAATCTGTGAGTTGTTGAGAATAAGCCCGAAGCAGGTACGCCAAAAAGCTCATGGTCTTGACCTGAGCTGTAATGAACTCCCCAAAAGCAGCTCGATTCCGGACATTGGGACTGACGCCTGTGAATATGGTGCCTTTTGCGGCGGCATCAGCATGGGCCTGTTCCTGGGGCTTGGCCTGGAGGACGAGCACATTCTTGATCAGAGGCACAAAGAGCTTGACATTGGGCCCAACAGTAGCTCGGTAGACTTGAAATATGGACACAACGATGATAGGGCACTCCGCAAGCACCTTAAACGACTGCATGCCCTTCAGCAACGGTCGTGTCTGTTGCTGGGGGTCTGCGCCCAGATCTGACACGGAAGCGACTGGTGAGCCTGGCCGGGGAGAGTTTTGAAAAGTCTGTGAGCTGCCGGGCGTAGATGGGACATTGGGTGTAGGATTATCTAATTGATCTCTGACCACCGCTTCCATCTGGTCGAAAAGCTCTTGGATGAGAGTGAGGAACGGCTGGACCTTATCTTGCAGCACTTTGGTCTGATGCCGCATAATATCCATGATTGTCTTGACACATAGTGAAGCATTTTCCTCATTATCTATTCTGACCAGGTTCATTAATAAGTCCACTACTTCCTCCGCGAATGGTTCAAAGGTATCGAGGGGGTTCGTGGGCAGCCGGTGGAGGATTTCGAGTACGCAGTGTCTCAATTTCTGTGTACAATCAGTACCCTGCTATATCCACCGAACTCCCACCACCTACCTGCTCCAAAGATGTGCTGACGAAAACCGGGGGGCTCTTGAGAATCGTGATGAATATCGGGATGAGCTTCTCCAGGAACGTCTTGTAGATTTGGCCGGTAACGTAGTGCTCGAGGCTGTCGCGCAGCAGGATGGCGGCGTCTACTTTGGCCTTGAGATCTGATATAGGGAGCATTTAGCGACAGGTTCTCTAAAATTTGGCCGAGGACCATACCTGTCTCTGGCTTGCTGAAGCGCTCCACCATCAAGTCGATGTTGCTCTGGCTCGACATGGCTACGCTCGACATAGCTACGACCACTTGCCTTCGCACTGGCGCAGGCCTTCACGGGATTGTCTTCATTCGACGGGAGGTAATGTGGTTGTGGTGCAGGATTGTAGTATTACGACTAGTTCGAAGCTCCAGGTCCTAAGTCGTGGGCGGGCAGACGCGATCGCGATTTTCCATGCAGCACACAGTCAGAGCTGGACTTAGATTTAGTATGGAATAAATGTATGCAGATCCAAACAGGAGAGAAGGTAGGGAGAAAGAGGGAGGTTCGTAGAGAACGGGGGGAGTTGAGGTTTGGGTTGGGCTGGGTTGGATTGGTTTGGTTTGGTTTGGAAGGCTGCGCGCAATTACCATCGACTTTTGGGGGCATGGCTCAATACTGGAAAGTCGATTGTCACGTGCGAGGCCCCGCTATCGAGCAGGGAAGGTATGTTAATATATATATACAGAATCCTAGGTGTAAATAGGTGTAGTTTAATGCCTCCCGTTTATCACTCCATGGGTTTTCAAGAATGGTTGATGTCGGCGATAAGCGAACAAATGTACACTTGAGCTGGTTCTTAATTCCTGATTGCACATAGTGAATCTGTCCAAGTACTTCTGCTGTACTTTTACTGTACTGGAGAGACGCGGCGTAATGTGACGTGAAGATCTGCCAAGACCTGGGGTGGCAGAACCTCACCGCCTGCACTTCAAAATTCCAAGTACCCCCTCCATAGAGACACATCCACTTCCACTCCCACTTCCACTTCCACTTCCACTTCCACTTCCACCTCCACCTATACTCGGTAATGGCCAGATCCAAGAACAAGAGAAAGCAGCCACCGCACTCAGCTGATGTCCCATCATCCAAGAAAACAAAAACCACAACCATCACCCCTCCACCAGAACAAGGATCCCAAGAACCCAAAACCATCCAGAGCATTGGCCTCACCGAAGAGGACCTCGATCTCGCAATTGACACCCTCACAACCCTGGCCGAAAATCCCAGCGTCATCAAATCGAAAGCATGCAAAGACTTACGAACAGCCGTCTACGATTTTCGCCAGGCGTGCACGACGGGTTTCAATGCCGCCCTTGACACGAACCTCACTGCGCGGATCAGTGGCGCGCTTGCGGATGGTGGATACACTGAGGCGCGGATCATGCTGGCGGAGATGAGGATCAGAGGGCAGAGGCCGAAATTAGGTGCGCTGTGTCGGTGGGTGAGGGATCTGGATGTTGTGAGTGGGCTGGCGGAGCAGTTGGCTGGTGAGGAGAGATCAACCAAGGAGGTAGAGCTACTGATAGTTCTGGACGCCATACTCAGACTTACTGGACCGACGGACTTCACTTCCGAGGGACAGGCTGTTTCTGGGCCCATTGTACCAAGAGAGGCCTGGGATTTAAGGGATGGCAGGAAGAACAGACAGGTCTATGATTCGGTTCTGGATCGAAGCATCTTCGAATGCTTACCTGCCGGCCACAAATCGCAGTTCCGGATTATCGAGACGACTCCTGGAATTGAGCGGAGACCTGCGAACCACCACCCTGCGATCCTACGTGCGTCGAGAGATGATGCTATACGTCTGTCCCCTGAATTTCCGAAGCCGTCACATCACAAACATCCAATCGTCCCGAATTTACACCTCTTAAAAGACGTTCTATCGCCTGGCGAGTGCGAGCAGATTATTGCTACTGGCGAATCAATCGGATTTACGCCTGATGCTCCAATTCGCGCAGAGGGGGAGGAGAGCAGTGTTCTGGCACACAACTTCTACTGGATTGTCGACAACGCTTTCCATGACAAGCTTTGGGGAAGAGTAGCAGAATTTCTACCGGAATCAGTAGGTGGAAAGAAAGCTCGGGGCTTGAATCGTCGATTCAGGGTTTACAGATACGTTCCTGGTGCCGAGTACAGAGCCCATATTGGTCGGTTTTAGTTCTAGTTCTGCTACCCATTCTACGTACTAACTTCGGTCAGATGGTGCCTGGCCCCCATCAGGAATCGACCCAGAGACCGATAAATACATCTACGATTGCTCCCCTGTTGGAGGAAAGCAATCCTCGCTTTTCACATTTCTCATCTACCTGAGCGATGACTTTGATGCCGGAGAAACGACCTTTTTTTTACCGAGCGCGAGAGAAGGAAGTATGAACGCGTACCCTGTAAAGCCGATACAGGGAAGCATAGCACTGTTCCCGCACGGCGAGACAGATGGCAGCTTACTACATGAAGGCACCGGCGTACGAAAAGACGAGAAGCCAACCGCGAAGTATGTCATCCGTACAGACGTGCTTTACGATTGCGACATGAAGATATCTACAGCTAGAGACGTCGACGCATAGGAATGTCAAGTTTTGAAAGTGAGTTAGTTGTAAGTGACCTCGAGAAACCACGAGCCAAGGTAAGTAGCAAAAGTCTCAAGTTCATCGTGTCCTTACGGAGCGCTGACTGTGACTGTTCTGGCCGTTCGCTCAGAGTACATTGTTTATCGTGCATTTAGCATAAAGTCTCCGAGGCCCGCAAGAGTGTACCAGCACCACAACTCAACTGCACATACATGCGGGATGTCCCATCCAACCTTAGTTGACTTATAGCGGTCGGTAGCAGTTGCTTCTAAGCAAACTGCTACTTGACACGGTGAATATCTCATACTATGTTTACTCGCTTAGCAGCTCCTGGTACCTTCTGCAAGAATGCTGATATCCAAAACTATATGATGACCTGCCGTTCCCGCAATATCACCACATACGTCCGGATTGATCCATGCCAACTCTGATCTGAGACTATCCGCCCAGTCAAAAGCCTCATGAAAACTCCCTATCTAATATCCATTACCCCCCAGCCCCCTCCCATCATTTTCCATTCTATTTCTCGACTTCACCTTACCATGAAATACGCTCACATCTCTCGTTCCTCCCGTTCGCGGGCTTGATTGATCATAGCACGCCAACTGGCTGGGCAAGTAACTCATACCAGTGCCAAGATGTCTCTGGCCCAAATTTTCAATTGTGAAGTGGCGATGGTTGCGGGGGTAGAGTGATCAGAAGGAGCAGGAAAGAGCGCGGCAGTGTTGCGATGTTCGGAGATATGGAGGAGGGACGATGCGAGTTGTCAGTGGGCCGTTGTTTTGCTGCTGGGAAGACCACGGGCTGTGCCTGTGCCGACTTTGAATTTCAGCTGCGTCCATGGTGGTGTGGTGTTGGCAGCAGGATGCGTAATATAGGGGCGGGCGCAAGCTAAGCGAGCTTGTGTTGATAACGGCAAAGTATAATTAATCGTCGGCTCGCTTAAGGCCTCCTTACATCGTTTAAGACTGAAAGGATGTAAAGAGGCCCATCTAAGCAAGCCGACGATTAGCTCGTATCGGTAATCTGAAAGTTGAGTGTGCATGTGTATGTTGATTAAAAGGAGGAGCGGACCTACAAACACACACCAGGAGCGCTGTAGTGCTCGACTACGCTGCTGCTCACATTATGTCTAGTAGAAATAGGCTTGTGTAGGTATATTGAAGGGGTGTGAGAATGGCAATGTAATAAGCCAAGTCTGACTCCGTGTTCTGTTTTTCGCTTGATTTGAGGGTAGGTACTGACTGGCATTACCAAGTGCGTGCAAGGTGCCGGCCGTCTGGAATAAACAAATCTCGGTCGATGCTATTGACAATTCTATCTATGGCTTCATGACTTGATGCACCGGCCCTCGGCCGACCGACCGACAGATCTGAGTGGTAGTGAAATTTCAAAACCCTTCAAGTGCAGATGGACATCGACATCTCTCTCTCCCTAGTCTGGTCCGGTCCACACCCAGATGTCTCTTGCCCTGATCTGAACCATTGCGGTTGCTGGTAAGAACACCTCAATCCTCTGTGGAGTTCTTGGGGGTCGTGGACTTGAAGACACGTTAATGCCTCTGTCCAGTCGGTCCGCGGGGGAATCTGACCGTAAAGTTGATACCCTGGAACCGATAGACACCCTTCTGGCTTGTATTATCGTCTAAATCACTTCAGAAGCAAACGAGCAATGGCCATGATTAAGAATGCAGCTGGCATACTATCACGGCAGGTAGGTTATTCAGTAGGTAGAGTTTTATTGATAAAGAAAAAAGTAATATGAACATCCCGAAAACACATTAATCAATCTCAATCCCCTTGAGAAACATTATCTCTATTGCCGCTCAACCAGTCGTCACTATAATCCCCCTATGCCCCTCATCTGTGGCGGCTTCTCGCAGACGTTGAGATCCGCCAGCAGATCGCTTGCCCGAATATCGATCCCGCCCGTCGTCTCGTCCTCGACGCCAAAGCCCAGGAACAACGTGTCGTCGGCGTACCCGTGGTACTTGGACCCGTGGGCCTTCCAGCTGATGGAGGTGACGAAGACCATCTCCGTCTGGTTCCACGGCCCAAAGGCGGCCTCGTCCCAGCCTTGAGCGGGAAGTTTCCCTTGTCCTGCCTCGCCGCGTCCGCTGATCCACAGAGGCTTCGCTCCGATGGCGTGGAGCGCGAATGGGGCATGGCGCTGCATCATCATGACGTACGGCTCGTAGACACCGTGGAACATGTGGAAGCTCTTGAAGTGGAAGATGGTGATGATGAACGTGTTGGCGTCGTTCGCGACGCAGTTGGCGTCCTGGCGGTTGCAGGTGGTGATGGAGAGGGAATTCGTCGCTTGGTGAAGGTCCTCCATCACCTTGCCTGTCGGAGGCATGTACTTGTCCATGCATAGCTTGTCCGTCTTTGCGTACTTGGCCAGATCCCGACCAACCGAGCCGTCCGAGTTCAGCTTCGCAAATGCCCGTCTCGGCTGAATGTCCCAGTGGACGTAGAGCTTGTCGTCCTTGTCCCAGAACACGAACCAGTTCTTCTCGACTCGGCCCCACGGCTTGTGTCTGCGGAGCTCGGTGCCCATCCGGAACTCCTGTCGCACAAACTCGTTCCCCCAGTCCGTCAGCATGCGCAGGTCCTGCATCCACTGCCCGAAGCAGGTGTAGAGGGAGTTGGACCCGTAGATCACGTATGCGCCGTCGGGTCCGTAAAATGCTCGGGCATCGTGGGGTCCGACACTGAAGTTGAAGTACACCAGCTCCCCCTTGCAGTTTCCGGCCGGAGTCGCGGCGATCGGCAGAATGACCGGTGACTCGATGCATGCAAGTGCATCGTTGGTGAATTTTGCGTTACATACAAGCTGAGCGAACCAGACTGTGTTGTTGACTGTGCTCCGTTGCTGCTGCGCGATGATGATATACGTATCGGCGAATTGCGGGTGCGGAAGGATGCTTGGATTTATACCTTCCTTATCACCAAAGATTATGGGAAAGTACTGCTTGTTTGCCGTGGACAGCGAGGACAGTACCTTGTGCGGGCGGAGTTCTGGGCTGATGGGAGATGTCTGGCCAGGTAATGGGATCTGGTCGCTCTGTTGTTGATGTTGTTGTTGTTGTTGTTGTTGTTGTTGTTGTTGTTGTTGTGATACCTGACCTGACGAAGGCGGCTTCCCCGAGGATACAGACGGCAAGACGGTTACGCTCTCCCTAATGACTCTCCAGTTCGTAGGTTCATGGTGAAGCCACCACACAAGGAAAAAGATGAAAAGAAATGGTGCACCACCTATGAGAGGCGCAATGCTATGGCTACCTCTTGCTAGCATTGTCAGAAAAACGGGTTTTTTTTGGGAAGGGAGAGAGAGAGGGAGAGAACAGAAACCATGGATGTATTAACCTGATCATCGAATCGCGATGCTCGCAAAGAATGGACGCGGATTGAAGCTAAGGAGGAGGTCCAAACTGTGTCGAAACAAATTTGATGTTGAAACAAGCGATCATGGCGATGAGGGTACCCGAGAGTCACCATCTTTACGAACAACAGTACTTGTGTTACTGTATCTGACCAGCCTATTCTTTCCAAAGCTAGTTATTGGATCTCTGGAGAACCTCGGTATGCAGGTATGTCCATCGACAATTGACCTTACACGGGTAATACCTGAACGATCAATACCAAGCGCATAGCAGTTCACACGGGCTGTTTCCGCCCGGGAGACTCACCTGTGCACAAACAATGCGCCTTGTGCGCGCTCGTGCGTCTATAGCGAATGTATCAGACGAACGCGAACGGACCAATATAGAAAGAGGTCCGCACACTAGCGCCGACACAACTTGACAATTACTTCTGGGATTCTGATTCAATTAGCTAATTTAGTACTGACCTTTAACATCTCCGGTAAAATCTCCGGTATTTCAAAATCTTTTCGAGTTGAAATGTCAGTGAGACTTTCGAATAGGCTTCAACGTAACCTTTAAGGCGTCGATTTTGACAGGCGAGCTGGTCGATCCCGACAACACTTTGTAATCTCAAAGCCAGACCTCTCTCTATCGAGCAATCATCAACCGCTCACCCTTAGCAGATCAGGGTCCGGTAATTGCCCATCATCCACCAAAATACGCAATTCTCTCTTATCATGCTACTTATCGTAACATTCAAAGTACTCTTCGGGGTAAAAGGTCGTGATAACCTGCACAATCTCCTCTTCTTCCGCGCCGTCGCTTTCGTGTCAGCTACAGAGTCTTTTGATGGTTTCAGTGTTGCGATCCATGCCTGGTATCCCTCCCGCCCTGCTGGAAAGTAACCCGCAAATTCCCAATCAACCAAGGCTACAACCTCGAGGGTGCCTTTATCGATCATGATAATATGAGGTGCGAAGTCACCGTTTTGGAAAGCATATCTCGTCGTCCTGTAGCGGAGTCCCTGGCCAGGTTTTCTTGCCCTTCCACGGGGCCTCGACGCTAGGACTCAGCCAACGAGGGTACATGACAATGTCTTTGATACCGCGTTCTCGAGCTGTCATCTTTTGGAGCTGCGGAAGGTAAGTTGCATCGTCGGTATTCAGTCAATCTCCTCTCCTCGAACACCCTCCATACCCACTGAGAAGGACGGCTTTTACGCGCTCGGTGAACAAGAATTCGCGTCCGTCCTCGTGAACCCCATAGTCGACGAGCCGCGGCACGGGAATCGTCGTCTCGCGAGAGATAAGTTCCAAGGAGCATGCTTCGTTGGTGATGCGTTCATGGTTGCTGCGAAAGATTAGCTAGGGTCAGATGAGAGCAACACCTGGATGAGGGCGCTCGGCCAAGATAGATGTACATGTCCCCAAATCCGAGGCAGAGGGCTAGACAGATGGACTGGACTACGTACAATGGCCTGAACCATTCGAAGATGGTCCCGTCACCCTCTGCAGGTGTAGAGGCAGTCCTGAGGTCTTTGTAAACTCCGTGGCGGGAAATTCGCAGGTTACATCGTACGTCTCCTGCAGGCGCACCCGTGAAGTTTGGAATTAGAATACGACTGAGACCGCGTGCGAGGGCAAGCAGGGTTTACCATTTTGTGCGGCCATATTCTTTGGTAGCTGTCGGAAGGGAGGTCGCAAATAGCTGGGTTTAAAACATCATTCCCATCAAAGCTATCAAATAGCAACAGCGACGACGTATCGCTGGATTATTTAAAATTAGAGATCTCTGTACTTTCTGGATATCCTGTCACGACCCAGAGATAGTAGCTTGGTTTGAAGGCACCCATTTATACAAATCAAATATTCAGTTACAGTCAATGAATAAGTTGCAGAGAGTCCCTTCCCTACAATACCACCTGTCATCAGCCAGGCCCTCCTTGCGCACTGAAACTTGAAATGGATGTACTACCCGAAGAAATCGAACGAACTGCTTTGCTTCGCTTTAAAAAAAAAGACCGTATCATCTTCAGAAGCAGAAACCCTTCAACTGCATACTTACTTACTCAGGAAGCAATCACTTTGCTATTTAACAACAAGAATATCCCTTTTTTTATTTATTTGTTTTACTCTTCGTTACCTTAGCGAGCCCCCGTCTTCTCGCCTCGACTCCGTAAAGCCCTCGCTACTGCTGAGTAATCTGTGATAGTCCTTCATAAATAGACATTCTAGTAGACACTGTATCACTGATCGATCCCACTTCCCACTACACAGGTCCGACACTCCCTCCTTTCCCTAACCAGTGATATATATATATATATATATATACATATACATATAAATTCTCTATTTTCTCCCTCCTTCTTCCTCCCACCGCCCCCAGCCTGAGCCACCTCGCACACACACACACACACACACACACACACACACACACACAGAAAACCGGCCTTCTTTCCAATTCTTCCCTTCTTCGCTCTCCGCAACGGGAATAAATCCGCTCTTCCTCGATACCCCTGTCTCTCCGTATCCGCTAGACCGTTAGTGTATATACGTATGCATATGCATATACGTACCGGTATATATACGTCGCTTTACCTCCCCAGCAGGATACTTACTTCTTGTTACCTTGTACCTATCACGCATCACACATCTCCTCTCTGAATCCCAAATCAAAAAGTCAAAAAAGTCAAAAGAGTCAAGAAGCCCCAAAAATATTTAATTTTTTTCTTCTCATCAAATCAAATCATATCACACAACCCAACAAAAAAGGACCAACAAAACACAAGAACAAAGTAGCACGTACACGCTACCGGGACCGGTCCACGGCATGGTGTTTGCCATACATACATACACACGTCGCGCCATAACGACGACGACCGCGAAAGCCAGGTAAGTCTGAATGAAGATCCGCGCTGGTCCCCCTCCTTCGAAAAGAAAGAAAAAAGAAAAAAAAAAAAANAAAAAAAAAAAGGGGAACAGAAAGCATCATTCACGGGGCAGCGCCGGCGAAGAGCGAGCGCCAAGGAGGGCTACGGTACGTACGTACGTATCTACCTACCTTACCTACCTACTCAGTGCTTGCTTTACTTGCTTACTTGCTTGCTTGCTTGCTTGCTTTGCTTGCTCGTTAAGAATAAGAACACGAACACGAAAAAAAAAGAAGAAAAAAAAAGGAAAAAAAAGGGGAAAATAAAAGAAGAAAAGGGGCAGAAAAAAAAAAAGGGAAAGAAAAGGGAAAAAAAGATAAGGGAGAAAAAAAAGAAGAAAAAAAAGGGAAATTAAAGGCGTGGGAGGGAGAG